TAGGATGAACTTTTCAGACTTAAGATACTATTTAAAAGATTCTTTTATGAGAATTCACCCTAAAAATTATCAATTCTAGAGTATTTAAGAAAAACTCATTTAGGTTCTTCTAAAGATTTTTTTTTAAATATTTTTTTTTAAGATATCGAAATGTCATATTCACAAGATAGCTGAAGCACTATTCATAACACCATAAGAACTTGTCCAATCTCTTTTATGCACAAAATTCAATCTCTCTATGTATATGATTCATGCTTTCAGTTATAGCATTTTTCATACCTTCATTAAAAATATAATAAATCTATTTAAAAAAAATAAAAATTAAGGTAAGTTGACCCAAAAGTCAATAGATACAACAATAACAATTAAATATGGAGACTTCTTATGTTTATAATACTTTTTAAAATATTATAACTTTATATATATATTTTTTTTATAAAAAATAATATTATAATTAAAAAAAGGGACCAATCGAAAACTGTGAGAATCGATACTTCCCGATTTGCTCCACGTTACAGTCAAACACGCCAATTCCTCGATACCATTTTATTGCTGGGCAATAGAACAGAAGAAAAAGAAAGATTCTTAAAATACCCAAATTAAATGACTGATAATTATGCCAGCCAAATGTTTCCTTCAGCAGATAGCTATGCCATCGGAATGGGGGAATCCTAAGGAACCATATGGTCTGTTGTGTTTATGAGATTACAAGAACATCATTTGGTTATGCTCTCCCGCTAAGCATCAGCTCAACCACCTGAGTCCAATTAGGAGTCTATGATGCTGCAAGATGGTGCGGCTAAACCAATTGTGCTCGACTTACACCGAGTCTAAACCAATTATGTTCCCTTCTGGGCTTTTGATGTGCGATGGGCAATTTGGTACTTTGCGTTGGGCAATCGCCTCCCCCTCCATCCGCCTCCTTATACCTACTCGGAGTTGGGAGGAGGCAGGCGAGTCTTGTTATCTTGAGAGGCCACCTTTCCCCTCGCGGCTCCGCAAAGAGTGAGCGTCTCGGATCCATCATCGATGGGAGCGGAAGGGGAGCTCCGCCGCACTCTCTTCCCTCTCCACCACCCCCTCTGCGACAGCGACGGCCGGAATTGGCCGTTGCCGCCGGCCATCCTCGGCCTCCAGCCCGCCGCCCTCGTCGACCACGTCGCCAGGGTCGATTGGTCTCTCCTCGATCGGATTCCTGGCGACCGAGGCGGCTCTCAGCAGGTATTCCATCCCCGGCCGCACCACCATTGCTACCGTGTTTTCCGCTCCGCTTCTTCTGTTCTAGCGCCGTGTCCCACGCTCCCATGAAATTGTGCCTGTGAGGATCTGGATTTAACGTCAACGAGGTGTTCTTCACTGTGCCTCGGGCGAAAGATTTATTTTTTCTGCGGTGTTTGTTCGCCTTTCGTTCGTCCGCACGATTTGGTTTCCCGCTCGATGCGCCTGCGGTCTCTTTGATTTGCAGATGATTCGGGTCCCCCCCCCCCTCCCGTTTTTCCCAGATTTTCTTCGTCGTAATTCGCCTTCTCTAATCCTTACGGCTCTCGAAGAAAACAGAAATGTCGATATGAACTGTCACAGCACCAATCTAGTCCTTCAAGATCAAAATTCGTTCGCCCTTTATACGCATTTCTTTCTAGGAAATATGCTTAATTTTTTTTCCTTTTTTGAATTTTCGATTCCGACGGCCGATCTCCCAAGAAGACTTGATCGTGCAAGATGGTCTCGTGAAGTGTGATCGCTCGTCCTTTCTATTGGGTGGTTCGGTTCATGGTATCCGATTGTGCGGATGGAGTCTTGATCTTTGTCACTTCGATATGTGGTTCTTCGAATTGGGGTTGATCCGTCGTCATCTTGTCACTCTGTATTTTGATTTTAGAGTTCGATTTCATATACAAGAGAAGTCTTATTTAATGCTTTTGGTAGCACATGCAAAAGGCGGTATCTTTTTTTCCTTTAATCCTTGTGATGTGATTTCATCTTGCAACAACCGGTGCTTATAACTATTCATAACAAGCAGGTGGCGGCAGAGGATTTGAATCATATATTGAGTGAGGTCAAAGCACACATCCTCCCTTTCCTTAACGAAATCCCTCCGATAATAGCCATAGCTGGAGGTAGTGTCGCCAATACCATTCGCGGTATGGCTGCTGGCTTTGGAGTCTCGAGTGGAATAATTGGTGCTTGCGGAGATGATGAACAAGGTCGGTTATTCATCAATAACATGAGCTTTAGTGGTGTGGATCTTTCCAGACTGAGAATGAAGAACGGATCTACTGGGCAGGTGAGCTGGACGTGATTTCCAGAATTTTTTTGTTATCACCTTGCCAAATTGATTGCATTGTAGTTCACTTGCCTGTTGCAGTGCGCATGTTTGGTGGATGCTGATGGCAACCGAACCATGCGGCCCTGTCTGTCCAGTGCAGTTAAGCTTCAGGTATGCAGGGTCCAGTTATTTTCCCCATTTTAAGGTCAAATGAGTCCGATGAATTGATGTAATTATTGTGACTTTTCACCTGAAATATCTATCAGGCTGATGAACTGAAGAGGGAAGATTTGAGAGGTGCAAAGGTAGTTTTTTCTTCTCGAGTGACTACTGACTAATAGCCCTGAAGTAAAGTTGTCCTTCCCTCTCTAACATTCTCATGATATTTATGCAGTGGTTGATCCTAAGATATGCATTTATCAATTTAGAGCAAATAAAAGCTGCTATAAGAATTGCTAAACAAGAGGGGGTTTCTGTTTCCATGGACCTTGCGAGTTTCGAGGTTTCTTGTGAAACATTTTTATCTTGTTTTAGATGGTTTTTTTCTCAACATTTTTCCAAGTGAAGTGTCTGAACTCTTTTTTTTCTTTTAATCTCCACCTACGTCCAGATGGTGCGAGACTATAGGTCACACTTGATAGACCTATTGGAGTCCGGGAGTATTGACCTCTGTTTTGCCAATGAGGATGAAGCTAAAGAGCTTATAAGGTAATATTACTTGCTTAGATGGCCTGTTTTTTCAGACCTAAATTCAACGTGACGACCAGGTAGATAAACTTCACTAAAGCGATAACAAAATTTCATTTATTAGTTATATGAAGGTGCTTTACAAGTAAACAAACTTGTGTTGTCATAGATGTGTAGTCTTTTATGATGGTTTTCACTAAGGTGATGCATGGTTCATTTAGCACATTGACAATATGCCAGTGAATATTTATCGATCAACTGACAAGGTTTTTGTATAAAAATAATTAAATTGTTCAGCCTGTATTTGATGGCTCCTCAATTTGTGATACTTTAATATCTCAAAGCCATACGGCCGAGACATCTACCTTACATGAACTTCCTTCTTGCGCAGACTTTGAGAATTGTCATCTTTTGCTCTTTTTTTCTTTTCAGCCGAGAACCCAAAGTCGACCCAGAGGCTGCTTTGTGTTTCTTGGCCAAACACTGTAAATGGGCTGTGGTGACACTTGGTCCCAGGGGTTGCATAGCAAAGCATGGAAATGAGGTTGGTATCACTTGCTAACTCGATCGATGAGATGGAGTTGATTATAATCAAGATTATGACAATTTTTTCTATCGCAAAAAGCAAAACAATGACTAAAACTAAGAAAGCTGCAAAAATGTTTCTGGCGTTAACCAAAACCATGGTAGCCAAATGATGCATATAGATGAACTGCTATATTTATTGTTTTAGGTTGTTCGGGTCCCGGCGATAGGAGACACCCATGCTGTTGATGCCACCGGAGCTGGGGATCTCTTTGCAAGCGGTTTCTTGTATGGGTTGGTGAAAGGACTTTGTCTAGAAGATTGTTGCAAGGTGGGATCTTGCAGCGGTGGCGCGGTCGTCCGAGCTCTCGGCGGTGAGGTGAGGCCCGAGAACTGGCAGTGGATGTACAAGCAAATGCAGACCGGTGGGCTTTTGCTACCTGAGCTGAAGAATTGAGAGGTGATAAGTTACATTTTGGGGTCATTAGTGGCTCTAACTAGATAATAATATTTGACTTGGTGCTTAGAGCTTTATACTGCCATGAGGGAGTCGGCCGCGAAGGCTAAGCTTTCGTTATAAATGCGAGATTGTGTGAAGCATTCCGATTTGATCATTGTAAGAGAATGATTTATTCAGCTGACGAATCAAATTATCCGTCCTACTCTCCCAAAAGAAGTGTATGTCAATGTTATTTGTCGATCGAGTTGAAAGAAAGAGGCCTCATTTGCTGCCCGAATGAATGTTAATCGTGACACCTTCTAATTGCCATGGTATATGTTGATGAAATTACGCGTTGGCCGGGGAGTCAGCACGGCTTGGTCTACATGGTCGATGTTCGGAGGCGGGTCTCTCGACCTACCGGGGAAACGTCGAGGTTGAGCTAGATCAAGGGTCGGGGCGATCGCGCGTTCGGATTCCTGCACACGGGCCTTGTTTGAGAGATTCTCGGCTTGAGCCCCTCGGATATTGAGTCAGAGGTTTGTTTGTCTTTTTTTTTTTTTCTCTCTCCCCTGGCTAGGTGTCGGGCTTTTATACTATTGCCCGAGGATCGGTCATACATGGATTTGGTGTGACGACCAATCCAGCCTAGTATGCATGGAATGGTGTCGTCCCGAGTTTTCCGGAACAAGGCTTGCGACGGGGCGCCTCCGGCTTCCGTTCGACACAAGAAGTCAGCCTTTATGCTGACTCGACGAGGGCGTGACGTGGCATGGGTCATGACGTGGCTGGGATCCAGAATATGTTCTATCAGTATATATACATCGTATAAGATTTCAACACCCATAAAAGAAATATTGAAATAATAGGGATGAACGACAAGAACAAAATAATAGAAAACACAAATGCAGATGCGTACTCCAGTGTATCAGTGATTACATCGGCCATGCCCGAGTCCCGCTCGGGCCAGCTCAACTCGATCCCTGAATTGGCTCTAAGAGCATATTGGGCCGGCCCATTGGTCAAATCTGGCTGTCTCACCCTCGCCTATATATATATATATATATATATATATTACGGGTCCGATAGGGTTTCTTCTCTGACTTTCCGCCGCTCTTGCATCCTCGACCTCCCCCGCGACACCGAGAGGCACGGCAAGGAAGGGGAGCTTCGGATTACGACAAGATGGGGTGAGTCTCCGCGAGAACTCGATCCTATATTTCGTGCTCCTGCTCTCTAGCGACGCTACGTTTGCACCGTCCGTCCGTCGCTTGGATTGTGTCATGTTTCGTTAGCGACTCGATCTGATCGTTCTTGATTGTATCACCTTCCCCCTCTTTTTGGTGGACGGATATCTTCGTTTTTGTGGAGAATGGAGCAATCCTTGTGTTTTTGAACATCGATGCGTTATTTGTGTTTCTTTAGGTAGTAAAAGGCCATCTTTTAAACTGTTAATCATGAGCTGGACGGGTTAAGATTATCGGGGAAGATAATGAAACAAATTGAGACGATCTTGTTCAAAGTTACACTTTTCCTGGGTGCTCAAATGATAATCTAAAGATTTCTATGTTTGCATTTTGTAAATGTCACTCCTTAATATACGAGCAAACCTTTTCGATCTGCAAATTAATGGCTAAAGATTATCACTCACATTATTTTATGATGCACAGTCATGTGATGTCTAATGATGAATGATTGAATGCTAACCATCTGACCACAGTCAAAAAAAAAAAAAAAAATTGGTTGGGAACATTTGCTTGTAATAATGATAAAAATATTTTATCCACACGATTATGGATTAGCAAATTTTTTCAGCCACTTCCAACTGAAATTGATTAAGAGGACTGGTAGCCTTGTGTATAATCATAATGCTCTTCTGGTTTGGAGTTTGATCATGAGATATAGTTTGTAGAAGGGGGAAATGGTAAGGCTGCTTCTAAACATGCTTGCATATTTTCGATTTTCTTATGGCTGGAGTTTGGATTTGTTAAAAAAGATGATAAGTGGCGAAAACCGAGTTGTATCGTCTGTTCATCGAAAGATGAATGGGTTTTCATAAATATAAGGTCTATGACAGAAAGACTCGTGGTATGGGAGCTGGGCGCAAGCTCAAAACCCATAGGAGGAGGCAAAGATGGGCAGACAAAGCATACAAGAAAAGTCATCTCGGCAATGAGTGGAAGAAGCCCTTTGCTGGTTCTTCGCATGCCAAGGGTATCGTTCTCGAGAAGATGTAAGATAATGATGCTAGTTGTTGATATTTTTGTTGTATCTTGATGTCGATCAAGTCGGGAGCACTCACACCCCATTGCCTTTTTGCAGAGGTATCGAAGCCAAGCAGCCCAACTCTGCTATCCGAAAGTGTGCTAGAGTGCAATTGATAAAGAACGGGAAGAAGATCGCAGCCTTTGTTCCAAACGATGGTTGCTTAAACTTCATAGAAGAGAATGTAAGTTTTGTGGTTCGGTTCATCTAGACATTTCTATATGCCATTGAACACTCCAGTAGAATAATCTAATGCACTCGTTAGCAAAGAATTAATCTGCGATTGCCCACACCAACCAGTATGCACCGGTCGGCACTAGCATTAGCATCGCAAGAGTGTCGTGCCAAGCAGGCATTAATCACAGTGCTTGCTGTCTGCGTGTATGCTCAGCACAGCACGAGACCTCCTGTATCAGGAGCTACTTCTAAGATTACAGTGCTTGCATCATCAATTGCAGAAGCATGTCATGGAGCTGCATTGCTTTTGCAGGATGAAGTCTTGATAGCTGGTTTCGGACGAAAGGGCCACGCGGTGGGGGATATTCCTGGAGTAAGGTTCAAGGTTGTGAAGGTTTCTGGTGTGTCCCTTTTGGCACTCTTCAAGGAAAAGAAGGAGAAGCCTCGGTCTTGATCCCTGATCGAGTGTGTTTCCAAATGAACCTTTTGTTGGAATCGATAAGTAGCACTTGCATTTTGTTTTGCAAGATGTTTCATTCATGGTTATCCACCTTTGAGCACCTTTTGTGTGTGTGACCTATTAAGCTTATTTTCCTAGTATTGCTCCCACTAATTCGATCTCTGTTAAAAACACACTGGTCTTAAAATGTGGTACGATGTGGGTTGAGATTATGCTTCAGTTTAGTAGCTACTGCAGTTTGATGGTATAACCATATCATTTCATCATTTGAAGCATCCATTAAAATTATTTTAAAATATATCAAGTGTTTCATCATCATATAGTATAGTATAGTATTTTAAAATATATAAAGCATCCATTTGAATCGGAGTCTTTATCTATTTATATCGAGTCGTTGAGCGTTGAGCTTGTGCTCAAAAGTCTCTCTTTATCGAGCAATGTCAAATTTTGACTCAAAAGTCTTTCTCTTTGTCGAGCAATGTCAAATTTTGACATCAATTAAGATTTTGATGGATGAAATAAGAGATTGTAATATATATATATATATATATATATATATATATATATATATATATATATATATATATATATATATATATATATATATATATTTAATGATCGTCAATAGTAAAAGATTACCGATAAGAAAAAGGATTACCAATAAAGAGCTTTCTTCCTTAGAAACCATCATCTCCTCAAAAACAAAAAACTCACAGATCATTCTTCTTCTTCTTCTTCTTCTTCTTCACATCATCATCGATGATTCTTGGCATGGTAATATTGTTTTGTTTTAGGTTTGCTTTTCCGTGGAGTCATAATAGCGTTTTCTTTGTTATTTGTTCTTGGGTTCTTGGAATCACGATTAGTTAGATAGAGAGCGACATCTTTGTCATTTGCTCACTCATTTGTGTTGATCGATCGTAAAGATATTATAATATTGATGTTCATTTATTACGAAATATGATAATAAGAAAAAGGTGAGACGTCATATTCAATTACAGTATTCTTCAAAAAAATAATTAAATTAAATTAAATTACATTATCTTCGGTTACCGAACATAAATCCCATTCCTTCTGTTTAGAAACACTATCATTTATTTGATTTACTGGGGCTAAAAAAATAATTTAATGGATATTTGATTTACTACGCAAATGATGCCATTTCCAGGACAGGCAAATCAGTCACGGGCGGCACCGCATGATGCGGTTGTCATCCGACGGCCGACTTTGCTTCCGTAGAACACGTGGCAGAAATCACGGACCAGTAGCCTCTGGGCCCCTGCGGTCCGGCCGACATCCGTACATGTTAATTCATAACGTGGGACCCAGTATGACTAATAATATTTCGGTGACATGTGTAGCACATGTGTGTGCGTCCCCTGGCACGTAAAATGGTACACATTTTGTTGTGGCAAATCAACAAACAGGTAGCGGCCTCAACTCTCTGTTCCATATCGCAACCATCGTTTAGCATCATCGAGGACGAGCTGTAGACCTCATGGAGCTGCAGAGAGTCATGCGCATGAACAGCGGAGCCGGCGAATCCAGCTACGCCAACAACTCCAAGATCCAGGTGAGTCTTCCATGTCGATCTCTTCTTCCTTCGCCGGACAACTCTCTCTCTCTCTCTCTCTCTCTCTC